TACATTCTGCCCAGGTGAAGAGAGACCATCTCAAAAAACTCAAAAGAGCTAATATTCTTATGTACTTCAGACAATCTTGTTATTAATAAATTGTTAAAAAAAAAAAAGAATTCTTGGTCTGGCACAGTGGCACATGCCTGTAATCCTAGCACTCTGGGAGGCCAAGGTGGGTGGATTGCTTGGATTCAGGAATTCAAGACCAGCCTGAGCAAGAGTGAGACCCCATTTCTAAAAATAGCCAGGCATTGTGGCGGGTACCTATAGTCCCAGCTACATGGGAGGCTGAGGCAAGAGAATCACTTGAGCGCAAGAGTTTGAGGTTGCTGTGAGCTATGACGCCATGGCACTCTACCCAGGACAAGGGAGTGAAACTCTGTCTCAAAAAATAAAAATCTTACATACCATAACAAGTTAGTTGCTAATGTCTAAAATTTTGTAAGAGATAACAGAATAATCATATTTGGAAATATGTAACACCAGGCCAGGCACAGTGACTCATGCCTATAATCCTAGCACTCTGGGAGGCCAAAACTAGAGGATAGCTTGAGACCAGGAGTTCAAGACCAGCCTGAGCAATGAGACCCCTATCTCTATAAAAAATAGAAAATCTAGGCTCAGTGCCCATAGATCAGTGGTTCGGGCACCAGCCACATGTACCAGGGCTGGTGGGTTCAAACCCGGCCAGGGCCTGCTAAACAACAACGACAAAATAGCTGGGCATTGTGGCAGGTGCCTGTAGTCCCAGCCACTTGGGAGGTTGAAGCAAGAGAATCGCTTAAGCCCAAGAGTTTGATGTTGCTGGGAGCTATGATGCCACAGCCCTCGAATGAGGGCGACATAGTGAGATTGTCTCAAAAATAAATAAATAAATAAATAAATAAATAAAATAGAAAAATTAGCTGGTGGTGTGGTGTATGCCTATAGTCCCAGCTATACTGCTTAGAAGGCTAAGACAGGTATATTGCTTGAGCCCAGGAGTTCAGAGTTGCAGTGAGCTATGATGACATCATGGTACTCAAGCCAGGGAGACAAGACTGTCTCAAAACAAACAAACAAAAACCATCATGAAATAGTGCATATGGCTCGGCACCTGTGGCTCAAGTGGCTAAGGCGCCAGCCACATACACCTAAGGTGGCGGGTTCGAATCCAG